TACTTCTGCCTTTGACTTATTTTGGATTTTATTCTTAAAGAATATCACTTTCTCGTTTAAAAGTCACCATCAATATATAGATTCATATGTATGCTCTTGCAGTATGTATATTGCAATAAATAATGGAAGAGCACATATGAATCTATATATAGGTAATGAAGTTTAAACGAATAAGCAGTATTGGTCAAGAATAAAATTCGAAATAAGTTAAAGACGGAAGATGATTTTATAATTTTTCACAACAATGTAAGTTTCGGGCTCATCTACAATGCTGGTTTTTCGTCTTATGTTTCATTATCATTATTAAAAATGAAGCATCTTTTTTCTTTTGCTTCCTATGAGAAATTTCAGGTCATTACTCGTTATTTGATGTATTTTAAGTTCGACATCAATATAAATATTTCTTTGTACACTTCGTTTTTATCAGCAATAACAAGATTTTCTGTAAATATATAGTAATATTTATTATTTACTTGTCTTCATTATGGCACCAAGTCAATGTCTCTCTGCGTTTTCAATTACAATGCTCTTTGAAATATAATGAATTCAAAATACACTGTTGCAATCTTGCATGTCTTTTGAGTCTTTGTTTTATTTCACTGAAGATCTATAATTTGAATTAATAAACGTAAAAGGAAGAGCATAAATAGAAATATGTCCGATGAAAAAAGTATTAGATAGCCAATTTTTATCATTCACATAAATAAGATAATGAGATCTAGGTGAGCTTGACTATAGATGATAAAGACAAAGAAAGCAGAAAAGACAATTTTTATGACTCCTCTCACTATGCTAATAGACAAAGTAGAAAAATAACAGGTAAAAAAGGCAATTCAAAAACATTTGTTTGTTCTTGATTATTAAATCTTTATTAGAAAAAAAAATGGTTGTAAACAAGACTTTATTTAGAACTGCATTTTTGTTTAATGTAACGATAACACCGTCTATGATTATGTTGATTCAACGAAGTCTAAAAGATGTTGATGATTAATCAGAAGAAATGTTTTCTCTTGAGAACTTATCAATAGACTAACCAATTCATGTTAACATTGTCAATATTTGTCTATTGTTACATCTTTCATTGTATATTCAATAATGACATATGTTGAAAGAAGAATAAAAGTATCATGAAATCTATTTATGAATCATGTCATAAATTTAATTATTTAATCGATTCAAACCATTATATTAAAAACGAATAAAATAGTTGAATAAAAAATATGTAATCAAGAAAGATACATAAGAACAAATCAATCGATTATCATAGAACGAACGGCACAATTTGTATTGTGTTGTTTTTACTTGACTAGCTTTCGTTATAGAAATTTATGCTTATCCTAAAAACATTCCCCTTGCAATTCTCTACTGAATTACATTAGAACGTTTAATCTAAATGTCCAATGTAGAAAAAGTGACAGAATGATATTGAACTACTCCAAGATGCTCAACTTTCTAAAGAGTTTTTTCCGATCATTATACAACGATAAAACATATCTGAAAAAGCTTTTGAATGCAATAAACTGCGCTCTTTCTTGTGATATAAAAAGACGATCACTTTAATCAGAACATTATCACGCAGAGTAAATTCTTGAAACTGGATTAAAAACAACCAAAATTAGGTTAAATTTGCTAATTTCATCAGAACACAATTATATTCTCACAATGAGCATTCAGTGTAACGAACCATTCAATTCTATTTAAACTACAAATATAAGCTCAGAGAATTTAGTTTTAATAGGCTTTTATCAAAGCTTTCGAATGTTCTAAAATTACTGTAGTGTATTGACAATATTTGTTATTATTGTTACATTTATTTCATTTCTTATATGTTGATGTTTGTCTACTGATGAGTCATGATTTAGATATATGTATAATTCTATGCGTATATATATGTGTGTTCTTTTCCTTTATGTTGTGATCACTCTAATTTCGTATATAACAATATTTCTATTGTTATATTTCTTTTGTTTCTTTTTCGTATTCTTCATTCCATTTGTATGAGTCATCACAACATATAGATCTCTCTATATATATGTCGTGCCGAAGTTATAACTTCGACAAAATTTTTTGCCGAAGTTATAATTTCGTCAATGTGTTTCGTCGAAGTTAGTGTGAATGATAAAATAAATATCAACTTTCAAGAAATCAACAATATCTTTCACGTTGTATTTTAAAAATTATTTTTTTCCATCAAAACAATAATACAAATTTTATTTTTCAATATTAAGACAAACGTGCGAATATTCAGACGAATAAAAGGAACAATATGTTAATTTTTTTCTGCGTTGAAATTATTAATATATTATATAATCTTAGAGTTTCATAGAAGATTGTTGTATCTTTACAATCTACCAAACTCCTTTTCATCTGTATCGCAGTAAATACGTAAAAATACAAGTCGAATGAATATTCATTCTAGCTGAAACGCTAGTATATTTGTCATAATATTGAAAAATAAATTTTGTATTATTGTTTTGATGGAAAACAATAATTTTTAAGATACAACATGAAAGATATTGTTGATTTCTTGAAAGTTGATATTTATTTTATCATTCACACTAACTTCGACAAGAATAATCGTCGAAGTTATAACTTCGGCAAGAAGTGTAACTTCGGCACGACATATATATGCTTGTCTTTTCTTAAAAAGATGATTACTTTTGTTCGTTTCGTTTCATCTAACTTGTTGGTTTTTTCTGTTCTTCAAGTCAATAAAACAAGTTATTGACCTTGACCTTTATTGTATTACGCAACTGATAATACAATACATTTTCTAGCTTTTACGTATTAACATCAATACGTGACAATTACTAATTCAAAATCACGATGTTTGTAAAGTTTCGAAAACAATATTCTTTTGCTGAGAACTGAGTATTGATGTGAAAATTTGTTGAGCATGGCTGAAAGATAGAGTCATTTTATGTCCTATAAAATGGTTAATGGGTTTATTTGAAGGTTTAAAGTCCCAACGAATACAAATAAGACAATTATCTTATATGTGAGAAAGTCGCACACATTGCACGAAGAGAATGTAGTGTCATTCAGTCACTTTTTTTTTAAAGGAAAAGCTTAGATTCAGTGTTCTGATATAATTTTAGAGAGGATTAAAAAGAGAAGTTTTTGAAACTAGGTACAAATTTCTAAAAGACGAGCTAGCTAAGAAAAACACAACATACAAATTATGCCGTTATTTATGAGTTGGTCATCGTTAAAAAAAGTCTATCTATTAAGTTCTTTAGCTACGGCAATACACTATTAGTGTTTACTTCGATCTTGGAATTAATTGAAATCATTTCTTTGTTGGGCAGTTTACAATTGAGTAACCGTTTGTGTGTGATATATATTAAGTTTCCGTGTGATTTTCGATTTTATGATATGTTCAAAATAATAGAGTTAGACCGAATGAAATAATTATGTTGAACTTTCAGAGAATCTCTTCATTATTCATATAATTCTCAAAATCTAACTAACTTAATCAATTACATCGAAGAGTTCAAAGGAAGCTAGTCTTGTCCTAGTCTAACATTTCCTTTATAACTTTAAATGATTCGAATATCTTTACTCGCTTCAGCTCTTTTACTTCTTTCTGTTCATAGCTGTGAAGGAAAAGTTCGATCAAGATAACTTTAATTTCATGTACACCAATGATTACATATGAGTAAATGATATGATTAAACAACGTTTTTTATTTTTTATATTATCCTATGATTTACTTTGGAAAAAAATGATTTATAATTGTATGAAACAGTTCAGGATTACTTTACTGATAAGCGTTGTTCATCAATCAGAAGTGTCTTCATCATATGATTAACTTCGAAAGATTACTTCTTTAACATTATTATAATTATAATAATCGACGAGCATGCTGATAAGAATATCTTTTTAAATACTTCTCTTCAAAAATCGAATGAGAATTTTCACATTGATTAAATTAATTGAATAATTTTTCTTAAGATTCATTCTTCATTTATATTATCTTTGGCCTTAAAACTAACTTGAATGATTTCTTTGAAAATGAATTGAACGAAGTTTTTACCAGAATAGTTGGTCTTCGACTAAGTTATTCAATTAAATAAACACTTCTTCATTAAATTTAGTAGCTGATTATTTCTTTGATCAGAATAGTTTGTTGATTGTTTGATTATAAATTAGTTAACAGCATTATGGTATCACGAATATAATAAATAAATGAAACCTGCGTTTATCTTAATCATTCACTTTTTCATATAGATTTCAATCAAATGTCTCATAGTTAATATTTTCTATGAAGAAAACCCATACATAGTGTTTTTTTTTCATTCATTAATTTGGTTTATTTTATTTGTTATTTCTTTTTCTATTATTCATAAAACACAATGAAAATCTTTTCAGAAAATTAGAAATGACAATAACATCCGATACTTCAATTAAATACCTAATACATTAAGTACACATAGGTTAATGAAATATTTCGCAAAAATACTCTAAATTGCATTTTTTAGTTAATTTTCTAGAGCAAGACAACGATAAAATAAATAAACTAATTGCCAAGAAACACTGGAAAAAAAATAGTAAAGGCAATGCTTTTTGTATGGGTACTTTTGTTAGTCTTCTAAAACCTAATGATGATTACTTTCATTCTTTCTTTTTCTTTTGTATCAGGTTGTTGTATAAGCTCTAACCATGTTGTTCTCAAATTGTTCTCTCGATTTGATCCATGAATAAAAAAAAAGAAACAAAATTCATTTGCTGGATAGTCACTAAACCTTGAGAAGGAATGTTATGTAATTCCTATTCAATGTTTGAATCAATATCTGATGTCTGATATATGATTGCTCTACAAGATCTTATTAAGAACAACAGAAAAAATAAAATAGAAAATAGTTTCAAGTCTTGATGAAATTTAATCTATGAAAATTACAATTGATGTAAAACAAAAACAAATTCAAGCATTTTGAAATTAATTCATATATAAATGTACAAAAATAAGTCGAAATGTGCGAATACAAAAGAAAATGAAATTATTTTTTCATTTTTGACTCAATACGTTGAATGTTTTCTTTTATTTTGATTACATTCGGATGCGTAGCAGGATATATACTGCAATAGATCTGGTATGCATCTCTATAAAATACTAAGGCCTCATTGAATTTTCCCCCGTCATCATAGATTGCACCTATATTATTATAAGTGGATGCAAATTTTGGATGTTGTGGAGGAAGAGTTTTTTTATAGATTTTGAGAGCTTCTTGATAATAAAATATCGCATCTTCATAAAGTCTAAGTAAATAATAAGCATTGCCAATATTATTGTACGACATGCCTAAAGATGTTTCATCAGATGGAAAATACTTTTTGCGTATTTCAAATGCTTTGTTATAATAGTCAAGTGCTTCGTTGTATTGCTTTTTTTCTTGATAGACAATACCAATATTGTTATAGCATACAGCTTGTTTTGCAAGCGCTTTACCTGCTGGATCTTTTCCCAACGCTTCTAATGCTTTATCATAATATTCGCGTGCTTTAACATAATCACCTTTCTTTCGATAAATTTCTCCAATACTATTATAATTCGATGCAGCATCTGAATCTTGTCTACCTCCTTTGCTTATATTGATATTAAGAGATTCATTGTATAATTTAAGACTAGTCTCATAATCATCTTGTTCATCAGCTATACTTCCAAGTGCTTCATAACAACGAGCTCTATCTGGATGATCATATGATAATCCATCAAGTAAACGTTGATAATAAATCTTTGCTTCTTCAACTTTACCCATTGTCATAAGTACATGACCAAATGAAAGAAGTTGATTTTTGTCACGACTTAAATCAATTTGTTCACTCTTCTCAGAGTATAATTTTAATCGAACTCGCCATATTTCTTGATTATCAGACCAAACTTGAACGATTTGAAAAATCGATCCTAACATAAAAAGTATTTCGTCTTCTTGATCATAACTTAGTGATTTGATATTAGCAAATGGTTTATCACTGCTGACTCTAGGATCAGCTTCAATTTCGAATAAAACTCTTTCGAGTCCATCAGAATTAGGAAGATATGAAACAGCTTTGTCTTCAAACATAGTAGCTGAAAAGAATGAATTAATCGAGATGAATTGTCCAACAGAGTTTTTCAACTTTCTAAGTTTATTATTTGACATTAGTTGACTTCGATAGGCGATTGTTTGTACTTTACATCGATATTTTTCGAGTTGTTGTCGAATATCAACAATAAAAAATTGAAATAAAAATAAAATATCAATATTTTGTGTTCGAAGAGCTTTATTTAATAGTCGAAACAGAAATGAATCTCTGGTATACCACCAAATAGCCCGGTCTGATGAATAATTTTGTTCGAATTCATCAATAATTTTCATTTCAGTTCGATTCTTTTTGTATATGTTTCTACTAAATAATATCAATTCCATCTTATCACTAACGTCTGATTTCACTTGAAGAAGACAATTAATTAGTAATTGTGAATGAACAAGATGACCTTGAAGATCAGCTGTAAGTTTTTCATGAACAATCTTTGGATCGAAAATACTAATTGGTAATGACTCATAAATTTTATTTTGTTGCTGTTTTTCATGATCGAACTGAATTCGCGCAATAAGTTCTTTTACATTTGTAACAACAGCTTTTACCTATAAAAAATTATGTAATAAGACTTTTAGGATTTTTAACTAAAATTTTTCTTTTCATTACTTTTCGATATTTACTAGACCATTGTTCATTTGAATTTTGGTCATAACAATAAATATATATGGATAAGAGTTGTTCAATAGAATGAATATTAGGCACTATAGATCGGCCTAACTGTCCACTAACAATTAAAACAATTCGATCTTCTTTTGGCACATTGTATATGTATTCTAAACATTTATCAGGTTTTTCAAATGTTTTTAGTTGATGGATTGTTGTTCGAAGTTCTTCTTGAGCGTGAAGATTGTCAGACTTGTTAACCGAACCATCGAGCCAAAGAAGAGAAAATGTTTCTAAATTGTCGTCTGCTGATGTAAAAATCTTATTGAGAATCTGTCCCATTGTTGTAAATGCTCAGTGTAACGTCAAAATCAAAATGTTATTTATTGTAAAATGTGACGAAAATGTATTATTTCTTGAAGTCGATATTTCCCTGATAAGAATTTTTTTCCATTACTTTAGAGATACAAGAAAAGCACATGTTTGGGTTTATCATTCTTACCTCTATTGTGAAATCCTAATGCAAACAAATGGCGTAAAGAAGAAAAAATAAAAATGCATTGAAAAAGAAATGAATGTTGAGTGTTGTGTTTTACCGTTTTGAAGCATTATTTCATTGGACTATTGAAAAAGCCATTTATAAACGAGCAGTCAGTATGAAAAGTATTTTCTATTGTCATATGACGTAGTAAGACACTATTTCTAGAGAAGATGAATTTTTCTCCTAATATCAACATAGAAATCATCAAAACTGTTTTAGTTTTTGAGATGTGGATAAAATAGAACAAACAATCACGAAAACAAGTTCGATCAATCAATATCATCGCACTATTCTTCGTTGTCATCAGTGTAAAATATGTTATATATTTATCAAAGTTTTAAAAAAGATCAAAATATATGTTTTTAGATATTGTATAAACTGTCTCATATTTCAGTTCTCAAGATTTTCAGTAGAGCATTCTCTAGTACTTTGATGCCATTGTATGAGAAAGCAGAAGCAAGAGAATATAATACACTACGATATTTTTCATATGTAATGTTGATTTTAAACGAAAATAATGAGTATTTTAGTAATAAAAGTTCTCTCTGTATTTTAATAATATCTAATTTAATATTTATTGATGCAGAGTTCATTTTTTGTCAAAAACTGCATCTTTTAATTATCAAAAAAAATTATCTTTTTTATCATTGAACGAGAATCAAAGATAAAAAAAAATTTTCTAGAACAAGTTTTTATTGAAAGTTTTTGATGCCAGGTTTCAGTGCTAGAATAAGAATATTTTGTGATATTAACATTTTTCCATTGACGGAAGTAGCAAAGTTCTCGATAACTAGCTAGTTCGAGATTTAAATCTGAACTATTCAATGTTCAATTTTTTCATCGACGATACAAAGAAAGTTGGTTTGAGATCATTATTGCATTAATGTGTAGATATCAAATTGTGTGTCGTTCTGATGAAATGTTATGTTTGAAATCAGTGCTTATTTTGTTTTTATCAAAGGACATTAAATCACATCTCATGAATTCACAATGTGCTTTCAGAAATACTTAAATAAGAAAATGACATCTTTGAAAAAGTCTGAACATTTCGGTAGAGCAGTAAACAACAGAGATCCGTGAAACAGCTGAAAAATCGTTTCACTACTGCCTCGACAAGATTTTAGTTATGTATGAGTACATTGTGAATCTTTTTACGTGTTATTTCAGATGTACTTGTTACGAGATATGGTGACCATCATGAATATTGGAACAAATACTTTGTGTTACAATAAGAACATCAGCTAGAAGAATAGATGAATCCCGTGTACACATGTTATCTATCTACAATTATATTTAAAGTGTCATTGTTTAAGTGACTCTCAGAGCAAAATCACTATGCACTGCCAATTATAGAAATAGAAGTAATAGTCTTAATCGAATAGAAATATATATTTTTCCATGTATTGCCTCTTGATTCATTATGCTAATGCTTGAAAACTATTTAAAAACAATATGATAGATATCACTAGAACAATCTTGCATCGCCTTACAGTGAAGTGATCTAACTCGGCGGTTTGTGGATCTTTGATACACAGTCTCATGTCTATTAATTAACACCATAATGGTGCCAAGTCAATTTTCTTTCTATCATGAATGAGAAAAGTTTGTTATTGAAGAGGTCCAAATTAAATCTTGGATTACTTAGTTTTCAAGGAATTTAACTTCTATCAGTTGAAAAAAAAAGGTAACATCAAAAAATACTTTTATTCAATAATTGAAACATGCAACCGAAAAATTTCAATCAAAAAAAACTTTCAGAAAATATTTTTCACTGCCCATTGTTCACTGAGAGAATTTTTTGAACAATAATGGATGTTATTTACATAAACAAAAAAGACACTACTTTATAGAGAATTAAGAGACGAGGTTTTTAACAAAGGAAATAAAATCTGAATCAACAAATGTTATGATATATATCATTAAAATACATCTAGGTTGATTTTTCCTGAAATATTTCTTATTTGAAGTATCAGAGTCAATGTATACGACAAGGAATATTTTCTCTTTAAATTTTATACTTCTTAATGATCATAATATTTCAATAAAATAAAGATCATTGATTTATTTAGATTGAAAAACTTCAGTCATTGAAACTATATATCCATAAGTTCAACTTGAAAATACATAAGAACAAAATTAAAAGATAAAGATTGAGCAACGACCACAAGTTGGCAGCACAGAATAAAATAGAGTGTATCGTTTATGTTAGAAGATTGATATTATATTACTAAACAAATGGTAGTACTGTTTATCATTAAATCAAAAGAAACATAGACTTCAAACCTACTCTCAATCGATTTTCATCATTTCTTTTTTCTTCGCTTCTTAGCTTGATTAATGTCAAGCTAAAGGTAAATAATCGAATAACTATTCATCAGTCGAAAGAAAACTAAATTACACTTAAAAAGAAAATTTTCACTAATCTTGGCAGTGAAAATGTACAGTGACATTTGAATAATCAGACTTGTTTTGTGTCATTGATAAATAAAGTGAAAACTTAAACAGCCAAAAATATGCCCATAACAAAAAGTATCCTATGATTGCAAAAACACTATTGAAATATTTATTGAATTTCATATGCACTTATACATTATACTAATATTTAGTGTCATTGCATACAATTTATTTTCATTATGCATTCTGTATACATTATCAAAGTCATTGAGTCCATTTAGAAATACATGAGAACAAGTATTAAAGTAAATATAATAAAACTCACTATAATCAAAAACAATATTAAGAATAGAAATTAAAAGTAGATGTTAATTTGATTGAAAGACTTAAATCTTTGAAAACAAAAAAGAAAAAACAAGAATTATTGATATATCATTAATAATAGAAATAAATCTGCAAAATGACAGACAAAAAAAGTATATCTTCAATTCTTTTTATATAATGAAAGTGTGTTTGTCTTTATATTTATATAAAACTTGTGTGCACCACAATGACAAGAAGAAACAGACAAGCAAGCATCAAATTATTCGTACTTGAATATACAATAACGAAAGAGTTAACAGATATTCTCATACCGGGAATATAATTATGAGAAAAAAGAAAAACGAAACTATCAAGATAAACTCAAAAGACTTAAAACCAACGTTTACGTTTAAAACATGCAAGCATAAACATAGCAAGACTAGCCATAACAGTTAAAACAATATAGTAACCATATTTATATGTAAGTTCAGGCATGTTTTGAAAATTCTTTAAAAAAAATGAAACAAATTAAAATAAAATATCATAAAAGAATATCTATTTACCATGCCATAAACTCCACTAATAAAAGTTAATGGAATAAATATCGTCGATATGATTGTTAATGTTTTTACAACTTCATTCATAGCATTTGAATTAAGCATCATATAAAAATCAATAAATGATGCTAACATTTCCCTGTATGTATCAATAGAATCATTAACTTGTACAACATGATCAAATAAATCTTTTAAATAAATATTTGTACTTTCTTGCATTATTTGTGTTTCTTCTTCTTTTTGTAATTTAATTATTATTTCTTTTAATGGTGATATTATTGCACGTAAATATAACATATCACGTTTCATATCATATATAGATTCTAATGTATCGCGTTTAAGTGTTTTCATTAATTGATTATCAATAGATTCAACTTTCGTACCCATTGTATCAAGTACATCCATATAATGATCAACAATAACATCAACAAGTGAATAAAAAAGATAGTCAATTTTAGATTTTCGAATACGACCTTTTCCTTGTCGAATACGATCTTTTCAAAAAATAAAAACAAAACAGACGAATTATATTAAATAAATATGTAAAAAAAATTTCTTACTTTTTATTGAGTCAAATAAATCTTTAGGTGTTTCTTGAAATGTTATAAGAAGATTTTCTTTTAAATAAAAACTAATTTGTTCAATAATTGTATGTCCTGTACGACCAATATCACGAAATATTAATTTACATACAAGAAACAGAGCATCATCAAGTACATCTAATTTTGTACGTTGTTCTGTTGTTGTTATATCTGTTTGAACAAGTGCATGAATATCATAACGATTACCAATTTGTGCTATTATATCACGTTGATGTACACCATCAACATCTATCCCTAAAAATTATAATCAATATGTATTTGAAATAGTTTTCTTAAGTCAAACCATCATATTGTAAGATTTTACAAGATAATATCTTTTAAGAATCTTATAGTACGATTTCATTTGATCTTACAAAATTTTACGGTTGGTTTTTTTTTCTGAAATGATGTTTTCTCATAAAAAATATTCTCTATAAAACAAAAACATAACGAATAATTCAGTGATATTCAAACAAAGATTAGAGGAAAATGGACTTGTATATTACTGAATTTAGTGAGTTAAAAAGTTTATACATGAAGAAATACGAAAAATATATCAATATTATACGCTAATGGATTCTATTGTATGATAAATTCAATAGAGATGAAATAGATAAAGCTCATACAGTTGACCAATAATTATTAGTAGCTATTTATTTTAAGTGCAAAAGATATTCGCACATAGATATTCATCGATGAAAACAAAAGAATGGAGAAATTTATCTATTTTTTGCTTATGAATGGTCAATCTGACAAGTGCACTTTTTTCGATTTATTTATTATTTGAACGAATTTAAAGACCCATCGATCTTCTTGTTCTGTACAATACTAATCGATATAAATACTCAAATGAAAGTTTTCTTTTCTTTTCCGCAACAGTAAACATAAAGAGAAAAGAGCAATGAGATTGCAAATTTATATATAATTGATAAAGACGTTGATAATTTCAATTTTTTTATATAGATT